GACCACTCCGTCTTCTCCTTGAAGTCGGACGGGCAATTGTTCGGCGAAGTCGGACCGCCCTTGCACTCGCAGAAGCACGCGCGTCTCGGGCGAGGAAATGAAGAGGCCAGGCTTTGACTTCTTGCTGCATGGGTAGAAAGGCGCGACCCCGCCCTCTGGAAACTCCTCGGATGCCAAGCGGAGAAACACTCGCGCGCCCGCGGTCACGACGACGCGGGCCCTCGCGAGCAGGGCCCTCGCGCCCCCCCCCCCTGCGACCTGCTACAGGGAGGGCGAGGTGAGAGCCACGGACAGCTGCAGCGCGATCTCCACGGCTCTCCCTCGGCGCCATTACGCCACCAACTGCTTCTCCAAAGCAGTGTCGCAGCTGAAATTCACGGCCTGGCGCGACGCCCCTGGGGCGAACGCGTTGGACCCTATCTAGCCCGAAGGGTGGGGGCCCTCCTAGCTCGGGTCGAGGAAGGCCCCGAACACGGGCGCGCCCTGTCTGCTCGGGCCCCCGTCGTCAAGCACCGCCGGCAGCACCCCCTCCACGGGCTCGCCCTCGAAGAAATCAAAATGTTCGGCGGCAGCGACGGCCGGCTGGATCGCGCCCTCCTCGCCATCGCCCGCGAGGGCGTCGCTCTCGAGCATGGGCATCAGGAACGCAATGGTCTTTGACGCCTTCGCCCTCCCCACCCTGGCCTCGCCGATCCAAAGCACGCAGTCACGGCGAATCGCCGGCAAGATCTCCACGGCGTTAGCGCCGGCGAGATCTCCACGGCGCCCCGATCCAAATCACGCCGCCACGGCGAAGCGTTGATGGCACGGCTCGAGCCCTTCGGCGCAAGCACCCAGACAGAGGCGCGCTCGGCGCCAACGCGCCCGCCCCCATGGCTCCGCAGCGCCTGGATCACGCGGGGCCCCTCCCAACCGTAGAATTTCGACTGCGGGCCGTTGGTCTCCTGGCGGCGGGGGGCAACAGCGCCGGCTGGGAGCCGCATTCGCTCGGCGGCCACAAGGCCCCCGCGGTCGGGGGCGGGGGTCGGGGGGCAACGCGGCTAACCAGATGGCGCCGCGCCCCCCTGCCAGACTGCCCCTGTCCGCGAGCTCCACGAACTGGTCGCGGTCGTTGCTCCTCGGCCTTTTCTTCTCGACGCAGCGATGCCCCTCCTGCTTCTTGCCCCACTCGGTCGAACGCTCGGCAGGCTTCGCCGCGGCGGTCAGCGCGGAGAAGCGAATATGTAGGCCGCCCGAGTCTCTCCAGGAGATAACAGGTCGCGCCGCGGCCTGCCCTATACTGATTCCCATGCTGATACACTACGCCAGTGCCGTGACACATGGGCTCGCAATTGGCCATATTCAGGCACTGGCCTTCCAGGTCAACGCCCTTGAAGACGCGCACATCTGAATCGCCAGCACGCGCGACAACATTCTGCGCGACGCCCGGCCCGCCAGGTTCGGTCTCGAGGTTGAACGGTGGAGGGAGGCCGCTGAAATTGAACTTCAAGGTCCTCGACCACGTCCAAGCGGCACTGCTGCCCACGCGCGTCTCTCCACTCGGCGGGGACACCGACTGTTTTCCCGCCAGGGCCCGGGATCTCCGCGTAGTCCTGGCCCATCAACTAGTCCCCGAAATAGTAGACCTCGACGCCCGCGCGCACGTTCATGGGCGCAGCGGGAAGGCCTGCGATCTTCCACAGCCCCTCCTGCCAAACGCGTCCGCGCGGGAGGCCGGCGTGGACGCGGGGCATCACGCCGTCGGCGCGCGCGACGGCTTCGCCGAAGTCGATGCTCTCTTCACCAACGGCGCCGCCAAGAGTCTCGCGGAGGGTCTCGGCCAGGATCGCGCTCTCCCTAGCCATGGCAGCCGCGAGAGAGAATAACGAAGGCACGAGAGGGGCGCGCGAGGAACCAGCTGATCGAGAACTACGGAACATGCAATACAGCACGCGCAGACGAATGGCGCTGCTTTCGTGCGCAGAAGTGGCAACCACATTTGGGGTTACCCGCTGTCTCCTCGTATCCGATCGGCGCCGTGATCGCCTGAACGTCCGAGCTGGACTGGGTTTTCCACGGGCAGCCAAAGAGGGCAGCGCAATCTGCGATGCCCTCGTCATGGCATCGCCGTTGCAAAGAAAGGGCATCCATCTGTCGGATGCCCTCAAGAGGGCATGTGGTAACCCATGTTTTGGGTTACCTCTGTTTGGCGCGCGGAGCTGCTCCACTTACGGTCGCGGCACGATTGGCGTGAAGGAGGCCAATAGAATAGGAGTGCATATATTGGGTTTCCTCCTGGGTCCTCTTGCTGGGTTCCCTTGCCGGGCTCCCTTGCTGAATTTCCTTGCTGGGTTCCCTTGCTGAGTTCCCTTGCTGGGTTCCCCCCTGGGCCCCTCGCTGGGCCCCCTCCTGGGCCCCCTCGCTGGATTCCCTTGCTGGGTTCCCTTGCTGGGTTCCCCTGTAGAGTTCCCGTGCTGGGTTCCCTCTTGGGTCCTTTGCTGGGTTTCCTCTTGGGATATTGCTGGGGTTCCTGTCTGGGTTCCTCGGCGCCTGCCTGCTCGAGCGAGCGGTGTCCTCGTCGCCGCCGCTGCCGCTGCCGTCGTCGTCGTCATCGCCTTCCTCCTCCTCCTCCTCTCCTCCTCCTCCTCCTCCTCCTCTCCTCCTCTCCTCTCCTCCTCCTCCTCTCTCCTCGTCCTCCTCCTCCTCCTACTCCCATCCCTCACTCCCTCTCCTCTCCTCCTCCTCCTCCTCCTCCTCCTCCTCCTCTCATCATCTCCTCCGCCCTCTCCCTCCTCCTCCTCCCCTCCCCCTCCTCCTCTTCCTCCTCCTCCTCCTTTTCCTGTTCCTCCTCGTCCTCGTCCTCCTCCTCCCCTTCCCCCTTTTCCTGCTCCTCCTCCTCTTCCTCCTCCTCCTTCTCTTCCTCCTCCGCCGCCTCCTCCGCCCAATCAGAATTACTTTGTTCGGAACCGAACCGCCGAAACTTTCGAAAACACAAAACAATCGCGAAGATCCGGCTGTAGTCGGGACGATCCCAAAACATTGCCTGCTGTTTGGCGTCGTTTGCGTTTGGTTTGCTTTTTGGGGCGCTTCCGGTGGTCCGACGGAATGAAAAGAACAAAAGAAGTGGCAGAGTGCAGACAACTTTCATGAAGTGCTACCAAACGGGCTTCGCGCGCGCGCATGTCGAAATCGCCCGAACGCCCTTGTGCGCATGCTGGGGTGGCACGATCCGTGTCAAATAACGACATGCGAGCCACTCTCGCGCATCTGCCGCGCGGGCACGAGAAATCCTCCCAAAACCTTCATCACCGACGCGAAGACACCATCATCGTCGTCGGCGTGATCAGCATCGGCGCCGTCACTGGCCGCCTCGTCGTCGCTGTCAGCATCGTCACCAGCATCGCTACTATCATAATCGTGTCTACCGTTGTCGACGTTGCCACGGTACCGCGCCCGCCCAAGTCGCCGACTCGCACTGAAGTGCCCGCTGGGATGTGCCGAGCGGTCAGCGCCACCGCGCTCGCGTCGGTCGCGTCAAACTAGCTGGCCGCTGCGCGCACGAGCATGCGCGGGCTAACGCGGCCGCAGAAATGCACCAGCCAACACCCAGCATTCATCGCAATCGCTCCCGCATGGGATTTGCAAACCAAGTTGCGGTTGGGCGGGTGGGATGAATGCGCGAGCAGTGGAGTTCACAAATCCTCGAGTTCGGCAAGCGAATTGCACTACATATATTGCATCGCACAGATTGCCAGAACCTACTGTTTGGCGTCCACGCTGGTTAACATGAATTATCAATAATGTCTCCTTAGTCATCTTAAGACTAGTATCGCGACCCTTCGCCTTACCCGTAGTAATCGTGTTCGTTGTAACATAAGCATGCTAAATCATGTGATTAATATCTTTACTCGTATCAGTCATACCCGTTTTAGTCCCACTCGTCTGATTGCTATTAGTATTCGGGTTATTCATATGATTTGTATGTTTATTGTCCGTATTCGCATTCGTCTCCTTGTTAAGTGTACTCCGATTCATAATACAAGCACTATTACGATTAATGATTGTACGATTCGTATCAGTATTCTCCTTATGACCATGAAATATTATGTTTGGTTCCTCCTCCTTATCCTCCCTTATTCCTCCCTTCTTCCTCCCTTCTTACTCTCACCTTCCTCCCTTGTTCCGCCCCCCCCTTCCTCCCTGCTTCCTCCCATTTTCCGCCCCCCTTCATCCCTTCATCCTCCTCCTCCTCCTCCTCCTCCTCCTCTTCCTCCTCCTCCTCCTCCTCCTCCTCCTCCTCCAGTTACGCTGACATCCGACATCGCGCTTTTGTCTCAGCGCGGCTCCCCAGAGAGTTGAGCCCCTTCCCTGTGACCGGCTGTTCTCTGACCCCCACAGGGCCCTGGGTCGAAAAATCGGGCCCGATATCGCCTCCCGTTGTGAGATTATTGCCACGACGCAAGGAAACCTGGGTCCTCCCGCTGCGTCCCTGAAGGGAAACGATGGGGGCAGACCCAGGTCTTCGATGATCGAGGATCGAGGATCGATCGAGGATCCATCGAGGATCGAGGATCTATCGAGGATCAATCGAGGATCGATCGACAATCGATCGGAGGATGTCAGGGGACTGGCTCAAGGGGGAGCCTCGACTTGGAATCGGCGACACGTCCGGACCCAGCGGCGATAGGCCCCTGATAGAGAAGCCGCAAGCTATCGGGCAGGGTGTGCTATGGGGCATCTGTGGGCGATGAGTGGGCCAAAGGGGGGCCGATGCGTCCCCCCCCCCCCAGGTAAGGTTCCCCCTGATGGGTCCTCCCTGGGGAAACCAACAGATGCCGACACCGCTACACTCCCCGGACCTCTCCCAGGGTGCGATCCGACCAGAACTCCGAGGCGAGCCCAGTCGTGGCGACAAGGGCCTCTCAGGAGGCCAAAAAGGGCGAAAATGAGGGGAGGGCAGCGGTGGTGATACCCTGTCCTCCTCTGACCTGATGGAGGAGATCGACTACAGAATTGATGTAACTCACCTTGATGTCCATTCGAATGAACGGAAGATGCGTAGACCTTTCGTAGATCTACAAACAGTATAAATATTTGCATGCAGAGTTGACAAAAAACTCGGGGATAAATCAATGTTGCAGTCGATCTCCTACTCGACTGTTGGGTCCTCCCACCGCCTCCCCACCAGCAGCGATGGCCGCCGCGCCTTCCGCCGCAGCGATCCCGGGGGGGGGGAGGGGGGGCCCGCGGCAGTTGGTGGCGCGCAGAATGGGTCAAGGGGAGGGGGAGGGGAGAAGGCTTCTCAGATGGGAGGCGCCGATCCCACATCGATATTTCTATACATATATATATATACACATGTACATACATACAGACAGACAGACAGACAGACAGACAGACAGACAGACATATATACATACATACATACATATATGTATGTATGTATGTCTGTATGTATGTATGTATATATGTATGTATGTATAGCTGAGGCCTCCTGAGAAGTAGGGTGCTTCTGAGAAGCCGTCCCCCCTCTACCCCCCCGACATGTGAGCGCTCTACCACGGCGGCGGGCGGCCGCGCCTCGAGCCCCGGCGCGGGCGGGGGGCGGAGCTGGGTCGCCATCGCTCGGGCGCCCGTTCCTCGTGTCGGAGGCGACGGTGAATGAACCGGCCAAGGGGGGGAGCGACACGTGCATCCAGGGGCTCCGATGGTCCACGTCTTCGGAGAGGCTCCTGGAGGGCTGCGTGCAATGCCCCACCCTGCCGTCACCTCCGATCGTACATTTTTACCTAACAGCTTGTTCTGATAGGTTTCTAGTGGTGTCAAAAGAGAGCAGCAGATGACTCCACAGGGGGGTCTGGGCGGGTGCCGGACAGGGTGCCGCAGAAGTCGTTTTAAGCCAACAGTCGCACACTTCGTGCTCTTCGACCTCCAGAACTCCATTCCCGGGCCACATTCTGAATGCCCGGAGCCAACGTATTTTTTTTTATTTTTTTTTGACTTTTGGCCACTTCGTGCTCTTCGACTTCCCGGAACTCCATTCCCGGGCCACATTTTGAATGCCCGGAGCCAACTGTAGGCCACTTCGTGGTCTTCAAGTCCCCAGAACTCTATTCCCGGGCCACATTTTGAATGCCCGGAGCCAACTGTAGGCCACTTCGTGCTCTTCGAGTTCCCAGAACTCCATTCCCGGGCCACATTTTGAATGCCCGGAGCCAACTCTAGGCCACTTCGTGCTCTTCGAGTTCCCAGAATTCCATTCCCGGGCCACATTTTGAATGCCCGTAGCCAACTGTAGGCACCTTCGTGCTCTTAGACTTCCCAGAACTCCCACTCCTGGGCCACATTTTCAGCAGGGGCAAGAGCACGACGAGGAGGAGGACGAGCAAGACCAGGAGGACGAGGACGAGCAGGAGCAGGACGAGGAGCAGGAGGAGCAGGAGAAGAAGGACGAGCAGGAGGAGAGGAGGACGAGCAGAGGATGGAGGACGACCAGGAGGAGGAGGGAACGACCAAGGCAAGAGGAGGAGGAGGAGGAGGAGGAGGAGGCGAGGGGAGGAAATACCACGAGGAGGAGGAGGAGGAGGAGGAGGAGGAGGAGGAAGAGTAGGAGGAGGAGGAGGAGGAGAGGAGGAGGAGGAACGAGGAGGAGGAGGAGAGGGGGGGGGGAGAGCACAGGAGGAGGAGACGCTAGGGACCAACAGGAGGAGGAGGGAGGAGGAGGAGGAGGAGGAAGAGGAGGAGGAGGACGAGGAGGAGGAGGAGGAGGAGGAGGACGAGGAGGAGGAGGGGGGGGGAGAGCACCAGGAGGAGGAGAACGAGGACCACCAGGAGGAGGAGGAGGAGGAGGAGGAGGAGGAGAGAACACCACGAGGAGGAGGACGAGCAAGACGAGGAGGACGAGAACGAGGGCGACCAGGAAGAGGAGGAGGAGGAGGAGGAGGGGAGGGGGAGGACTACCAGGAGGAGGAGGAGGAGGAGGAGGAGGAGGAGGAAGAGGAGGAGGAGGACGAGGAGGAGGAGGAGGAGGACGAGGAGGAGGAGGGGGGGGAGAGCACCAGGAGGAGGAGAACGAGGACCACCAGGAGGAGGAGGGGGAGGAGGAGGAGGAGGAGGAGGAGGAGGAGGAGGAGAGAGCACCAGGAGGAGGAGGACGAGCAAGACGAGGAGGACGAGAACGAGGACGAGCAGGAGGAACAGGAGGAGGAGGAGGAGGAGGAGCAGGAGAAAGAGGAGGAGGAGGAGGAGCAGGAGAAAGAGGACGAGCAGGAGGAGCACGAGGACGAGCAGGAGGAGGAGGAGGACGAGCAGGAGGGGAGGGCGGCCGGCTGCCCCGGCCGGTTGCCCCGGCCGGCTGCTCCGACCGGCCGCGCTTGCGCCCGGCCGCGGAGCGCGGTCAAGGGAAGGGGGCGGGGGCGGGCGGTCAAGGTTGATACCCCCTCCTCGCTCGTTCCACTGCCTGCTCGCAGCAGTGGCACCAGCACGTGCACAAGAGATTCCTGCATGAACTGTTGTACTTGCATATCTGATGGCCTTCGGCCAAAGTCGTGCGCACCAGGGCCCTGAGGAAGGCTCCCTGCGCCGTTCTGGGGAGCCCCATCTGGGGAGCCCCTCGGACGAATTATTCGGGCCTTCTGCTCGCCATGTCGGGCCTTCCTGGGGGACAGACACACCGGAGGAATTATTCGGGTCTTCTGCTCGCCATGTCGGGCCTTCCTGGGGGACAGACACACAAACATGGGCCTCTCATATGTGCGCGCCGACTTAGGGCGACGCATGTGCCTGGTCCAGCACGCGCGGTGCCCCCGGGGATGGGTTGCGGTTTTGCCAGATTGTGAGGACGCTTCAGAGCGGAACGCCCCTCCACATCCTTCCTGATCCCTCACTCATTTCAACCCGCGCTCCCTCAGGTGCACACTGCCGGCGCCAGCGCGAAGATAACAAGCACCTGGGGGGTGCCCCGCTCCGCGAATCCCACTGCAGAGCGGGGATTTCGACCCCCCAATGGGATTCGTGGAGCGGGGGGTAGTGATGTGCGCAACTTGGTTTTTCAACGTCCTCCTTTGGATTGGCGGCGGGCGGTCTGAAGTAGGAAAAGGTGCCTATTCTGACTCTTCTGAGGGTGTAAGTCTCTAGTGTTTTCTATGCATGCTCATACCTATGACCATATACATCTAATAATATGCACCTTTCCTTCACCAGACCATCCGCCCCCAATCCAAAGGAGGAGGTTGCAAACGGCTGCTGCGCATATCACTACAGCAAGCGCGCGTGCCTCTCTGAAGCGCACAACGGTCCAACGGTGCCCATGCTTTGGACTTCGCCATGTATTCTTGAGGCTGCTATCCCAAAATCCTCGCTCCTCTCCCGCATTCGAACCGAAGCGTCACGGCCGCCACCCTGCCGAACGATCGAACGAATTTTCAACTCTGCGATTGTTCTAGTCTGTCGCTCACTCCTCTCACTATTCCTTCGTTCCTCTATTCCTTCGCTTCTTCGGTCCTCTTACTTACTATCCCTTCCCCTCCTAACCCTCATCATTCCAATCAGCATCCTCCTCTTTCTCCTTCTCCGTATCCTTCTCCACATCTTTCTCCTCCTCCCCTCCTCCTCTTGCTCCTCCTCCTCTTGCTCCTCCTCCTCCTCCTCCTCCTCCTCCTCCTCCTCCTCCTCCTCGAGAGGGGGGGAACGGAAGCCAGACCTGGGGGTCAGCCCGAACGGCGGGACAACGCTCCAGGACTCCAGGACCCGCGGACTCCAGGACTCCGAACTCCAGGACCCCAGGCCAATGGGCCCTATCTTGGGCCACGTGCCCCAGGACTCCAGGAGAGGGGGGCCGAGGCAGCCAAGCCCCCCCTCTGCTCCTGCTCCTCTCCCCCCGGCGACGGCAGCGACAGCAGCGAGGGCGCGGCAACGATTACAATGATCATGGCGACGGCGGTGGCGATAGCGACGATCAGGTGACGCGGTCGCCTACATATATGATGGCACCTCCTCCTCCTCCTCATCCTGCTCCTCCTCCTCCTCCTCCTCCTCCCCCCCCCTCCTTGATGACGTGACGATGCGACGACCGATGGCGATGATGATGAGATGATGATTCATCTCGGTCGCCCCTCGGCTCGGGGCATTCCAGCCGGGCGCCGCCGCAATCGGCGGGCGGCGCGGCGACGCGGCGGACAGGCGGCCTGCGGGTTGAGGGAGAGGGAGGACGATGAAGGTAGTAAGGCTTGTAGTAAGGAGGGGGGGGGAGGTCAGCGAAGGGGGTGGCAGTTGAGGGCGCGCAGGCGAGAAGCCCACCCAGCCCCTCTGCGTGGGCGGCGTCGCCCCAGCGACGCCCCAGTCCAGTGCAAAGAGGCCTCGCGCAGGCTGGAAACTAGAGAGGAGCCGAGGAGGAGGAGGAGGCCCTAGTGTAAACACACCAGCACAGGCACAGTCTCCATGAGCCTCTGGAAGGTACTTGAGGCTCCGCGCAGGCCGAACGGCAACTAAATTCATTCAAACCGTAGTTTGTTGCGCAGCTGGGTGCGAGTCTGCACTCGCGCGCGCGCAGTCAGATGGCGACGCTTAGAAGACCACGAGCAAAAATTGGCGAGCAAAAGAACGATGAGAAGGGGAGAGGACATGATGACAGAATGATGACATGTAGTCGGGGTGTCGCGAGAAGGATGACGAGGTAGAAGAGGATGAAGACGAAGAGGGAGAAGAGGAGGATAAGGGAATGGAATCTTCGGAGTGCTAGGGATGACAGGGAGGAAGGCCCTCTGAGGAAGGCTCAAACCGACTTCGAAAACAGCTGGCGCAACCCAGCCGGGCTTGCGCAGTAGCGTCTGCGGCTGCGTCCGCACAAGCACTGGACAAATCCACATGTTTCCCAGTAGCTTCTATACAAACAGGCGCAGCACGAACAGCGCTCACAAAATATGGCGCGCGATCTCCCTCCACTCTGCAGGCACGCCCTTGCTGTCGGAGGCTGGCTTGAGCGCCTTCGTGACCTCGGCCAGCCTGGAGCTGTAGTGCTTGCTGCCGGGTGGCAACGCCCACACCTCGCCGATGTCGTTCCAGGGCCTCGTGACCTCGAACGGCTCTGTCTTGGCCTTGGCCTCCTCTGTCAAGACCAAGCCCGGCAGGTTGAACTCGATATTGGTGACGGTCTCGTTGCCCATGTAGCTGTCGGCATACTTGAAGACGAACTCGATCTTCTTGTTATCGAACTTGGTAGTGGCGACCTCACTCGCTTCACCAGTGTCGCTGTTGATGCCGACGGTGCGGACGAGCCAAGCTGGTGAAAAGTACTTGGTGACGGCGGTCGCAAGCTTTGTCGAAGGCGGGATGAGGTAGACCATCGTCTTGTCCCACTCGAACAACTTCCACGCTCCAACAATCGGCAACATAGAGATGGCCCCACAGAAGTTCAAGCGAAGCGGGCCACCTGACTTCGCCCAGACGCCTGGGATCTTGCCAGTCTCGTCGATGAAAATCAAGTCGTAGCCGTGGTCACACGTGGCGAACAACCTCACGCAGCTGTGCTGGGCGATGGCGTTGTGCGTCGCAGCCAAGAGCGCTTCCATGACCGAGCACTTGAGGCTTGCTGGCACTTTGGGAACATCGTCATCGTGCAGTGCTCCCGACTCTGGCTTCAAGAGCTCGGCCCAGAGCTGACCAGTCTTCTCGTGCGCACCAACCACTGAAATCATGTTTGCAACGTTCTGCTTGGCCACCTCCGCGTCGGCGCTGAACATGTGCTCCACTGACGACGGTGCCACTAACGCTCCGTGTTTGTCCGCCGAACGGCGTTCGATCTCGTCGTTCACCCTCTTGGTAGTATCTGCATCAGCCTTCTCCGACAAAGACTTCGCGATCGAGTCGAGGGCCTCTTTCACCTTCGACTTCTCCAAGGGCAAATCCAAAAGGCCTGTCCAGAACAACGGCCACGAGTCACTGTCGGCGCCCTGCGATGTCAGCATGCTCTTGCCGATGTCGCATTCCACGAGCACGTCGCTGTACTCTGCAAGGATGTCCATCTTCCGGTTGATCTCTGCTCGGCGCTCCGACGAAACGATGATGTTCGGAGACGACGCAAGCACCTTCAGCGCTTGCATGGTGTAGTCAGCCCGTGCCGTGCAAAAGAACTGCGCCTCCTCAATCGCGTTGAACGCGAACTTGATCACATCTGGAACGTCGCTGTCACTACCGATGGCGACGACCAGCGAGCGCGCGAGGCTGGCGTGCTCGTCGGTGCCCAACCTGTGAGAAAGCAGAAAAAAACATCAGGATCTCTGCTGCTGCTACTGCTCTCTTCCTCAAGATTCCTGCGTCCTCCTGAGTTCCTGATGCGTTCCTGCTGCTGCTGTTGCTGCTGCTGCTGCTGATTCCTCACGTCCCACCTCCCCCTCCACTTATTTCGCTCCCCCCTTTCCTCGCCACCTTCTTTTTGCTCCCCCTCGTCCAAAATATCCCATGCCCTTCTGCGTTCTCTCCTACCTCCAACCCGGCAGGCCCAGCAGCCCATGCCGTCGCGCCGCTGATGGCGCGAGGCTCCAGGACTGCTCGGCTCTGCTCTCTCGGCCGAGGAGGAGGGGGAGGCACGAGCAGGAGGAAAGAAAGGCATGGATGGGGCATGTGACGACGATGTTTCAGCATGAAAACCTGCAGGGATTCTCCTTGGCGACGTCCTTGGTGAGGCTCGCGTGCAGGACGCCAATGAGGTCGGCGTTCGACAGGTCCCGCGGCACCTTGGTGGACTGGGGGAAGCGCTTCGCCATCGCGAGCGGGAAGGCGCGAGCAGTGATGGCCACGTACTCGGGATGCAGGGTCACAGGCAGCATGTATTTGTTCTCGTCCAACCATTTGCGGATCACCGCGCCCTGGTCAATCAGCGCCTTCGTGGCGTCGCCCCTGATCTGATCCAACACCTCCTTGCGAACGTTGCTGTCGCTGTCGTCCTGAACCAACGTGGAGCCAGCTGCTGCCGTCGTGCCCAAAGCGCCTCGCATGGACGCCGGGATGCAGTCGATGTGCGCGCGAGCGAGCGAGTCCTTGATGGCAGCGCGGACCTCTGACCAGATCGTCTTCCCGACGTCGCCCGTGGTCAGGATGGGCGACTTGGTGAAGGAGAAGTGCAGGGCCTTCTTGTACGCATCCTACGGCATGAAAAAAACAAGAATAGGAGAGGAGAGGAGGACGGGGGCGAGGAGGAGCGGCGAGGATGAGGACGAGGGACGACGACGACGAGAAGGAAGAGCAGGACTCCTGCTCTACCTTCTCGTCGTCGTCGCCCAGCTCAGCAGGAGGAGAAGGGCGAGGAGCGGAGGAGAAGGAGGACGAGGAGAGGAGGAAGGTAGAGGAGAGGAGGAGGAGGAGAGGTGAAGAGGCCACGCGATGACGACCGACGGACGACTCACGAATCCTTGATCGCCCTGAGGTCACGCTTGTCCTCTGGCACGATGCTCAGCGTGGAGGCCACCATAGAGTACACGTCGTCCAAGAACCGTTTCTGCTTCTCCTTCGCGCCCTCAGGCACCTCCTCGTCCTCCATGAGAGGGTCTGCGTCATCATCATCATCATCGCCCTCGAGGCCGATCATCTCAATGTCCGAGATGGACGCGGCTGTGGCGTCGTCGTCGGGCCGGTCAGCGACATCAGCGTACTCATCCTCGTCTCCAGCAATGATCTCGGCAGACACCGCGATGGCCTCCTCAGTCATCTTGCCGACTAGCTTCTCGGACGCAGCAGCTCCTTTCTTCTTCGATGCCTTCTTGCCCTTCTTCGCGGCCGACGCCGACTCTGCCGCCTTGGACTTCGCAGATTTGCCTTTCCCCTTCTTGCCCTTGCCCTTGCCCTTCTTGCCCTTGCCCTTGCCCGGCGCGGCCGCCCTGGCGGCCTTCACGTAGAGGGCGCAGCCAGCCATCGGGCACTTGATTATCTTCACGGCGTCCAGCGCGGACTGCTTTGTCTTGAAGACCCACATGACGTCGTCGCCCCCCTAAAAGGAGAACAGCGGCCCCTGGGGCAGTTTTGTCTGAAAAAAGCAGCGCGCAGGACCTTGGGACCCTTAGGAAAAAGAGAACCATGAGAAAACACGCAAAATGATGATCAGGCGAATTTTGACAATTCGCCTGATCATATTCCCTACCTAGGCTCTGCCTAAAAGAGTTCTTACTTTATAAGCTTAAAAGGCCGGGCAGTGCTCCACGCCCCGGGCGGTTCCCCCAGGATCCGCCCCGCGGCCCCCCCAGCTGCGTCCCCTTAGCTTAGCGTTGCTTATCTCATCTTAGTTCAGCTTAGCTCAGCTTAGCTTCATCTTAGCTTCGCTTAGCTGTAGCTTAGCTTAACTTAGCTTAGGTTTGATTAGCTTAGCTTAGCGTTAGTTTAGCTTAAGCTTAGCTTGAGCTTAGCTGTAGCTTAGCTTTAGCTTAGCTTGAGCTTAGCTGTAGTTTAGCGTTAGCTTAGCTTTAGCTTTGAATTAGCTTAACTTTAGCTTAGCTTTGGCTTAGCTTTAGTTTAGCTTTAGCTTAGATGTAGCTTCGGTTTAACTTAGATTCAGCTTAGTTTTAGCAGTTATAGCTTAGCGCTAGCTTCAGCTTAGCTTCAGCTTAGCTTTAGCTTATATTTAGCTTAGCTTTACCTCAGCTTCAGCTTAGCTTTAGCTTGGCTTTAACTTAGCGTTAGCTTAGGTTTAGCTTAGCGCTAGCTTAGCTTTAGCTTAGCTTTAGCTCAGCATTAGTTTAGCTTTAGCTTAGCGTTAGTTAGCTTAGTATTAGGTTAGCTTTAGCTTAGCTTTAGCTTAGATTTACCGTTACTACTAATGCTGCTTTCCTAGGGGCTCCAACTCCTAGGTTGGGTCGCACTGGGATAATGTTCAGCGATTTCGGATGGGGAGGAGAAGGAGAGAAGGAGAAACAGGAGAGGGGGGAGTAGGGGGAGGAGGATGAGGAGGAGGAGGATGAAGGAGAGGATGAGGAGTAGGGAGAAGGAGGATGAGGAGGAAGAAGAGGAGAAGGAGGAGGAGGGCTCCTCGGTCACCCCGGGATACGCCATCCTCAGGCCCTCCAGGAGCAGCAGGTTCAAATGGGCCCTGGGGACCGTATCTGTGAAGGAGAGGAAAGCGTCCAGGATGACAGCGTTGGCGGCCATCACGTCCTCGACGCTGATGGATGGGTCAGCGAAGTCGCATTCATCCTCGGCCCGCTCCTTGTACTCGACGTCGATGTGGCGCTCCCTCAGGATCCTCCATACCTTCTTGCACGAGAAGAAACTCGTCCAGGTACGGAAGTCGCCTGGATGATTCTCTTGAAGCCACTTCCAGTACTGCTTCATGTACGTATCTGGCCCCTTCGTTGGCAACGCCCTCGCGCAGATGCCCTTGGCTCTGCAGTGCGCTGCCCACTCCTTCTCGTGCGAATGT